AAAAGCAAATTGCCATGTGTGCAATATTCGAGACTCCACAGGCAGCCCCAAGCAAGGGCTTTCCCACCCACAGGGAAACCTCAACAGCCACACCTCGAGCCCAAATCACCACATCAGGAGAATCCCAGACAGCTCCTTCAGAAGAATAGAGAAGGCAACCACTCCTCCCTCTCTTGTCTGAGGGTGTCAGGGAGGGTGGGGACAAGGCAGCAAAGAAAAATGTTTTAAGCTTCATTTCAGATGAGCTCACATTTCTCAGAACTTATTTTTTCACTGCTTTGGTGGAAAACCAGCAATTTTGGTGCTGAACAAAAACATAGCACAAGGCCTGCAGCAGGTAGGTTCTGAGGTCCATGAGCAGCATAAATACATTTCAGTCCACAAAACAAAAAATGTAACTGAATTCTTTTTTTTTATTTGCCTTCTGTGCCTTATTTTCAAAATGAATGACATTTAGATTTCCTCCCTGTAATAAAGCACCTGACACTGGTGACAATCAGGGCACAAACTGCTTCCACAGTCCTGCTCCCCCCCAGTGCAGTGCTCTCACACTGAAGAAAGAAATACACCAAACTTTTGGGATGATTACCCAAAGCAGCGCTGTGGGAAGAAACAATGGATTTTAAAAGTGATTTGCTTTACTGTAGAATGTAGAATTAAGGATGCTGCTTCTATTAAAAAAAGCTTCTGTGAGCCCAGAGACAACTGTGGGGGATGCAATGGGGTGAAGAGGGAGGGAGGGACAGAGGTACCACACATTTCTGGTGGTTTCTGAGCAGAAAAATGCTTCCCAACACAGAGGTGAAGTGGTGACTGCTTTATTCCAGAATTATGCAAGTGTTTGCAATGGGCAAAAAGGATGAACAGCAAGGAATGAGTCTGTCCATACAGACAAGAGCAGAGGGAAGTGAGGAAGTATTTTTCTTCCAGTGAGGAAAACCCAGTTCCTTGGGTTTTCTGGGCAGCAACACATTTCCAGGGCCAGCTGGAATTTCTCCTTCTGTATAAAGAACTGCTGCCTTGGGCTTGGGACATACTGACAGCCATTCTGTATCCAGGATATGCAAGAGTGTAAGGGTTACACTGTGATACCTCTGTGAATGTTTATGTAGAGCTTATCTATATCCATGTATGGTGAAACACCTTCAGGAAAAGCTGTCTTCAGGCTTTTCCTAAAAACTAAAGACTGGCTGAATGATGGCACTGCCCTGTCTTCATCACTGAAATAGATAAAATAATGAAAGAGCTAATATAATGACTAAAAAAAGCTAAGATAATGAAAGAGCTGCAAACACCAAACTTGTTAGCCCAGGGACTGAAGCCAGCTGAGGTCCCCTCAAAGCAGAGGCTTGTCCAGGTGAGATAATGTGGGGTAAGGATCAGCACCAGCCCCATAACTTTTCTCTTTAGGAGAAAAAGCTGTTTCACTTTAGGAGGAAGATATTGCAATGTAACATCTTCCCAAAAGCCTTTTCCCTCCTCCAGTCACAACATCATTTAAACAACTGATTTAAACCTTTCTGCCCCTCAGCTCCTACATTTGAGGGAAAGAACACACGGAATTGTGCTCCTTTCTCTGCCATGGGATTTGACTGTTCACCCAAAATCCTTTCAGCTATTAACCCAAACTAGAGCCACTTGAGCTTTCCCAAGGTGGACAAACCCCTGGAAGCAGAGCAAGCTGTGAACTGCCAGCTGTGCCTAGAAATGCAGAGAGCAGAATGAGGGCAGAGCCAGCCAGGTCCAGCCTAACCCTGGCTGCTCCCATGGACACTGAGGGAATCCAATCCTCTGCAGCCTCCAGCTGTGGGCCTGCTGCAAAAACCAGGAAAGGTTTTCACCAGGACAGGCTTGTCCTGATCCCCCTGTGACCTGGGTCCTCTGCTGCTCTGGCAACAAGGCACTGACCTTCACCACAGCTGGAACAACTCAGAAAGAAAATCCAGCAATTCTTTTAGGAGCTGGAGAGGCTTTGCAGTTTGCTCTCCATCCAGACTGAATCTGAACTGCTAAATTCTTGTGCAGCCACTGATTTCTGTTCCAACCTGTGTCCAAATCCTTCTCACAGCCTGGCCTCTCACCTTCTTGGATACTATTCCAGTAATCTGGAATAAACCTCTAGGGGAAAACAGGGCCAGAACAGAGAGCTGGAGAAATGTTATTTAGAAGATGAACAGATAAATTCTAATGATTCTCAGCTGTCAGCATCACACTCAATTTCCCATTTTCTTGATTTTCAGCAACTTCCTGCTGTTTCTGTTCCTGTGCCTCCACCACCACAGGTCCATTCACCTGATTAAAGCTCAACACCACCTGCAGTTTGTGACAAACCCTGTCCTGGTAGCAGCAGCTTTCAAAATCTGTTTTCCTCCCCTTGCTGACAAGCCCAGGTGCCCCAGTCTCCCTGAGGAGCTGCTCCAGAGCTGCGCCAAGCGCCAGATCTCAGGGTGTGGTGGCCATACCTGGAGGACACACTGCACAACGTCACAGCCTGGGACCAACCAGGAACTCCCAGCTCTCCATGGAGCCATCTCATAAATGCTCCTTTACACCGGCTGTGGTTACAAAACTGATTAAATTCTTGCTCTGGCCAGAAGCTCCCAGCAATGAAGTTTATTCTCACTGATTTTCGTAGCAGCCACCAGTGATTTCAGCAGAACAGAAGCACAGGAGCCCCAGGGCAGCTGATCCCACTGGATTTGTGGTCAGTTAGGGGATGAGATGTTCCCAATCCCTGGTTACTTCAGGGACATAAGCAAGGTCCCCAACCCCTTGAGCTGCAACCACCTGACAGTGGAGATAAAAGCACATCCTGGCAGAAGAGGGGATATTGTTCTTCCAAGGCATCAGTAAAGCTCAGGCTGACTGAGCACAACAGCAATTCTGTTCTCCCAGCACCTCCAGGAACAAGCCTCAGATGAGTTTCTCTTCAATGGTCTGGGCTGGAAGATGTTTCACCTTCACTGCTGGGAAGGACCAGCCCTGCATAGCTCAGATTACTTGGATGAGGTGGAGAACTGGGCATGGCAAAATCCATGGAGAGGAGCAGCCCAGCTCCTGTACAGAGACTTTCAGTACCTAAAATCTGGCTCCCACATCTCCACACAGCCAATTTTCAGCTGAAGAGAAAAAAACAGCTCTGCCCTCCAAAAAGGCATCTGCACACAGACAAAGGGAACCATAACTCCTCTGTTAAGAACTCCATCCCTAAGCTGCTTTCTCACAGCCAGCTCAAGTAAAAACTTTTTTGCCTCTGAACACAACTGCACTTTAAATTCACATCAGCCTCACAAGCAGCATGAGGCATTTGTGTTCATACAATATTATTTGACTGTACTGGGAAGCTTTTCCTAAAAAAAAAAAAAAAAAAAAAAAAGAAAAAAAAAGCCCCAACTGATATTTGCTCCTAGACAGGCTTTTCCTGCATTAGTGAGGTTATTCTTATTCCACAGCAGGATCTCAGCCTACAGCACAAGATGCTGCACTCAAATATCAGTCATTAAAAGCCTTCAGGGTTTCATGCACAGACTCAAAGCACATCTACAAAATACACCTATGAAACTCTCCTGCAAGCCAGAGCTCACAGCTGAGAGGTTGGAACAATTATTTATTTCTTTATTAACCTGGATCTTTTTGATCCAATTTCACTAAATCAAACTTTTCATTTAAAGCACTAAAATACAGCACCAGCTCAAGGCCACACTGTATTTTTTTAAGTATGTTAAAGGTATTTGACCCAGGGAAAAACAAGCACCTTAAAACAAAGTATCATTGCTCTTCAGCTATTTCAGGGTGCCCCACCAGCCAGTCACCACAACAAAAAGGCAACTCGCACCTCTCCAAGGTTTAACTCCCAACAGGAGACTCTGCTAGAGGAAGAAACAAGAATACAACAATAATGTTACAAGAGGCACTGATCCTGGCTTTATTCACTTTAAGATACATCCAACATTGTTATAGCTCACTTGAAATTCAAAATGCTTTTGAGAAACCAACCATAAAACCTTGATTTTTCACCTTACAGCACTGTCAAAGTTTTCAAATAGCAAGTGAGTGACTCCCCAGCAATACCGTGCTCTGTGTTAACATACAAAGGTTAAAACTTAGTAGAAACCCTTCAAGTTGTGGTGTTTGCTGTATTGCCTTCAGAAGGACCAGCTCCCCTGGGGAGGAGGCTGCTCCCCTGGCCCGCAGGGGTGGTGCCCGGGGCCCTGAGCTGCTGCACCTTTCCCTCCCCCTGGGACATTTTGGCAACCAAGTGACAACTGTCCCCACTTCTGCAACCCAGGGGGGACCTTCACTCCCCATCTGCATTCCCAGCTGGAAGAACTTCTACACAAAACCCAGCGAGGACAACACCAGGTGCCCCCTCGAGGTCACTGACACTGCCAGCAGAGGAAGGGCATGGGAAGATCCTGAAGCAAAAAGTGTTAATTTGGAACCCAAATTACTTGGCAGTGTCTCCTGCAAATTCAGGATTTATAGAAGACTGTGTTGCAGCCACCATACAATGACATTGAGACCTATTAGTTTTTTGTTTTTTTGTTGCATTTAGATTCTTTTTAAAGTGATGAAGAGTGCAGGACTTCAGAAATATAAACATTTCTCTATTAGAAATTGCAAAATTTAGTACTATGACACTATGAAAACTTACAGTACAGTTTATTGATTCTGTGTTACGATTCAGCACCAATCTGGTGTCTGAACTGTCTCAGAGCTATTTTTGCCTAATTAAGCCTGTGCACAAGGCACCCGTGGCTGTACAAGCAGGAGCAGGGCTCATGTTGGCCTGTCAGCCCTGGGACTCTGTGACTGGTTTCTCTGTTTCATGACAGCATAACTAAAATAAGCCTGTTATGTAAAAGCAAAATAACCTTTATCTTAAAATTTCATTCTGGGTCTTGGACATAGCTCAGTGACATGATCTGCAGAAGAACACACCAACCATTCCCACCAGTGTTTGAAGAGGAAACTGAAGGAAAAATCCAAATCCAAGACACTCACTGTTATAGTATCTTTAATTTATCTCGTGTTTTACAGAAGTCTGAACGGATTAAAAAGCACCTCCTTTCCCACCACGCTCCTTACAGTTGGTAAAATATATTCAATGAGCAAATGTATGTGAACAGCTTGAGGATCTGCATCTTGCAAGGATTTCACAGACCAATCAATCAAAAGCCAAATTTCTTGTCGTTTTTACAACCTCGCTTTAATACAATGGTAAATCCACTCCGATGGCAAACCTGTCCAGTCCCATCTCCCCAGAACACTTTGCCAACTCCAGCGTTGGTTAGCAAACCTAGTTAGCTTTGGCACGGAGCTGTGCTCTCTTGCCTGTGACAGCCTGGAAGCCTGTTTTGATGCTGGCCACGGAGCAGCGGGAGTGGCAGGTCTCGCACTGCAGGAAGTATAACCGCGTGTCCTTCTGCAGGATGGTGTCGGGGGAGCGGCACGTGTGGCAGGTGACGTACTCCTCTGCAGGGAACAAAGGGCATTAACCTGCTGCTGCTGTTCAAACACACCCACCAGCTCACAGGGGCTGACTGGGAACACTAAACTCGCCCCCGGTTAACCAAGAGGAGCTTCTGTGTGGCACATGATGCACTGGCACTGTGTTGATGTTAATAACCGGTGCAGATTTCCCACTGGTGCTCCCTGCTGAGGTCTCAGCAGCTCTGGTACTGACAGAGCACTAAAGCAGGAGCTTTGTGACACAATCCGAGTCCTCTGACCAGCTGTGGCACAAAAAGTTTTTGGGGATTCATTAAGAAACATTCTTTAACCTCATGCTTACATGATTTCTAAAAGGTACACAGGAGAAAATTCCACTAAGATGTGGACTCTTAGTCTTCTCTGTTTGTCAAAAACTGACACCAGCACTCATGGGAAATTTATATAGTGCTTTTACAGAACATTTTTCTGAGGAGAAAATTCCACTAAGATGTGAACTCAAGTTTTCTCTATTTGTCAAAAACTGACACCAGCACTCATGGGACATTTATACAGTGCTTTTACAGAACATTTTTCTGATAAATTTTGGAACAAAAAAGGCATTTGAACAGAACTTATTTACATACAAGGTGGACTACGTTTCACTTTCAACATCTCACTGAGCAAGGTTATACTTGTACCTTCATCCTTCTCCATTATCTCATCTTCATCTGGAAACTTCACATTCTTCTTTTTCTTCTTTTTATTGCCCAGCATGATATCAAGGTCATCTTCAGGTTCTACTGTCTCTGGCACATCTCCTTCAATTTTCAATTCCTGCAAAAAGCAAGACTGTAGTTTATCCATGTTAACCACAGCCCTCCATAGCACCAGAAATACCACCAGCTGCACAGGTGAATACTGGTGACAATCACCACAGCCCTGAAACCCAACAGGTAAGAATGGAATTTCAGCATGTTCAAGAGAGCCTTATACCCTGCATTACTGCCATAAGCAGGGCCAGATTTGCGCCTTCTGGCTTAACTTCTGGCTAGCCAGGAACAAGGTCAGACTGCACTTAAAGGCAGCAGCCATCTGAGGACAGGAGGGAACAAAACACCCCTCATGGCAGCAGTAAGGGAAAGCAAAGCTGTGCTACTCTCATTTGTTATCACAGTTGTGCACACTGACAGAACACAGAGCAAGTATTTTGTCCCCTGAGGCAGATCAGAGGAACATATTCTTCCCCAAAAGGCAGAATCTGAAAAGGAGGTTTATGCATAACATAACATTTCTCTGTCCTCTTGCTCTCTGGGCTTGCCAGTTACACTGACATGTGATACAAAAACACTACTTGGAATAAAACTTGAGAAGAGTAAAAATATCTTGTACACCTTCTGGAACACAGCACAGTAGCCAATCCTTTTTAAAAGAAAACACCAGAGTGAAAACAGATTTCTTGGCAGATATATGCACTTTATTTGAAGTGCTGGCCTTTAGAGGACTGTTCTGTGTGTGGCTTCTGACATCCAGTTATCTCTCTAACCCCAAAAGACAATTAACCTGGAGGTTAATCAGCCCTTCCTACAGACTGGTGAATTACTTGCTCTTTGTGCAGAGCAGGCAGGTTTTTCCACTTCTGGACAAAAAGCCCAGGCAGGAGCAACACGTTCATCAAAAAAAATGAAAGACATGTAAAGTTTAGTTATGAACTGCACCAAGACACAATGACAGACTTGAGACAACTCCTGCACTGCCAATCTCAAGAAAATGGAAGAAAGAGAGTTTTCAGCCATAGTCAACTTATGTAAACAAAGGTGTAAACAAACCTTTACACCTTCTTCTGCTTCATCTATATCAAATATCTTTTTTGTTTTTTTCTTCTTTTTCTTTTGATTGAAGAAGTTTAAATCATCCAAGTCATCTGTTGTATCTAAAAAACAAAACCAAAGGATTGCCTAAAGAAGTATAACTGTAGAAACAGTTCAGACATTAAGGTTTCTGATTTACATCCAAATCTTTAAAACATCACAGTAAGATATAAGCAATGATCTGTAACCCCTGTGGATATCCTTCAGGTTTGAAGAGATCACTCCCCCTGCCCCAAAATACTGTTTTAGTTTCTGCACCTTCTAACTGTGTCTTTTGATTCTTTAAATGTTTAATCTTTGTTTCTGCTGTACAAGATAAATTAGTCACTTCTGTCATTAGAGATGCTTGGACAAAAAAATTACAAGTGCAGGAGAAAGATACAGTTTCTTTGGTCTGCAGCAGGAGCCAACTTAATCAACAAACTGGATTTAAGTTAATGGCACTCTGAATTAGGTAATCCTGAAATTACATTGGCCTCAATTTAAAAAGCAAGATTTTATACACAATCACACACTTCTTGAAAGATTCCAAAGAACACTCTGGTTATCACATTCAGAATGGTCCAAAAACTAGGAACTCCTTTAACCATGTTTCTGTTATTCACACTATTGCTTAGTTGTTGAAATGAAAACGAGCCATAATTTGCAATTATTGCAACAGCTGCACGTGGAAGATTTAAAACTTCACACTATTTTAGAGACTCTCAGTGCCTTACATAAAGGACTGTTTGAGTTAGAAAACTGGAAATTACATAAACCCCTGGGGGCTTGGTGGTGTCCGTGAATGTGATTCCAAGCAAGAGGGCAAGCTGCCCTCCAAACAGGCAGCAGAGATCACTCAGGAACCTCTGAACACACCAAGGCTCTGGTGTTGTACGCTGGGATGCCAAATTCTTGAAACTGGGCTTGTAGTCTCAAAACAGCACCTTTCAGAGTTATCTACATGGATTCACTTTACCTTTCTTCCTGCTGTCTTCTTCATCTGCTTCAACATCTTTGTCTTCTGTTGGTTCTGGTTCAACTTCCTTTGTTTCTGATTGCTGAGTCTCTTCTGTTTGTGTGTCTCCTCCTCCTTCCTCATCCAGCATGAAGGGCTTCTTTTTCTTCTTCTTCTTCTTGCTCATAGTAGGATCGAAAATCATCTGTAAAAGTCAAGAGCTTGTTAGCAGCTCAATAATCATCCCCTATTTATTATTTGTAACTTTTCCCAAACTGCTCCTGGGCTTCAACCTCAACTGTGTCAATTACAAGGGAAAAATGAGTTCACAGCATCGGCTACTCTTCCTGTAGTCCAAGTTTCCTGTCACCTGTTTATTAGTGCAGCTGCAAATATGTTAAAGCTGTGGCTCTCTGACAGACTGGCTACCATCTCTATTTTATGACCATTATGGACTCCAATTTTGCAGTAATACAGCACCATTCAACACAGAAGACAATCTAACCCCACCAAAGCACATGGTCTGATCTCATATCAGTTCCACTTGGGAGACATATTGATTCCCAGATTTATTCAAGGCAAGATTTGCCAGCACTCTCTTGACAAGAACACTCTGGATGAGGAAGAAACCTAGAAGGGGCTGGTGATACAGCAAGACCTGCATCAGCTCTGAACACTGAAATGGCAATGGTCTCATCCTTCTCCCTCCCCAGACTGAGAAACTGAACCTCAGACACCAAGTGATTAAAGCTGTTAATGAGCTCCTTAGCCAGCAAAGCAGCTTAATTCACCTTGTCTGGCTGTGAAGAAGGCACTAACCCCAGACTCACTTTTAACTTATTCATCATCTGCAGACCTGAGCGATTCATTCCAACACATGAAAGCTTTTTGTTTCACTTCAGACACAAGCTGACATCCTTGCTGTTGGTCACTTTGTTACACATCTGCCTGGACTGTCACACCACAGTTTATATTAAATACAACCATTTTAGACATTTTCTCCCATGTTCCTTATCCAGTAATGGAAGAATGTTCTCACAGAGCTGTAGTTCACCATCATGAACACCCTCACTCAGGAAAGAGCCAGCACTTCACCAAGGAGCAGCTTTCCAACTTGTTGCCCAGTTACCCCCAGAAGTCTGGTGGTTTCCCTCTCCCCACAACACAACCTTTCCTTGCACTTATTATTCTCCTACACATCCTGTTCTTGTGGTATTCTTCCCATTTTCTGAAGCATACATGTTTCATACAGGCTCTACTGAAGGCATCAAACTGCTCCTGTGGGTGCCTGAAGCACAACATCCCCAAAGCCTGCACATACACGGGGGCCCCTGAGGTTTTCAAGCTGCTGAAGTGGGTCTTTAGTTGCACACACCGTGCTGGAATGATCTTCAAAAGAAAGCCAGAGGGCTTTTTCTCTGCTGCTTCCATAGATAGTGGTGTGAATCATGCTGCTGCAACGCACAGAAATCTCAGCATGTCCAACTGGTTCCATGTCTGCTTCCTCCTGGACCTCCCCAGCCTGCTGGGACAGCAGGAGAGCTGCCTGCATGGACCCAGTGCACACAGCCTTGGGATCCAGCTCAAGTGGCTGACTCATTTCCATGAAGATGCTCTGCAAGACTCTAAACAGGTTTTTATTGTTTGTGAAACAAACCTAAGATCATGCCTCAATCAGATGTAACAGCTTCTAAGAAGTAACCAGCCCACCCACCCCAAATCACTCTTTTTCTGAGGGAAAATACATCTGAACCACCATAAAGCATCTCTTGTGTCTACAGAGACAGAGTGTCTGCAGCCTAACCACACTGGGCTGAACACACCAAGACAGCTCCTGGATGCAGGAGATTGGTTTTCAGCATCAAACCCACGTGGCCTTGAGCAGAGCCACCCCAGCCAGGCAGGGCAAGCCAGGCTTCTGCACACCCAACACCTACTCAGAACACGGCACACTCCACAACCTGAGGAGGAGGAGGCCTAAGCCTGAAATGTTTTACTCACCAAGGGCTTCAATAAGCACTCAGCAGGAGCCTTAGGTCACATTTGCTTTAACAAGTCATGACATAAATGAACCAGCCTGATAACACAGCTGGTTATGTTCTGGCTTTCTGAGACAGGTGTTCCCAAACTTTCTTTATTCCTTTTCTCTGCTCAGCACATTGGCTTAGTCTGAACTTTATAACACCATTTAGTGCTGACAAACTACAAAGTTGCAGGTTTTCTACTGAAGGAACCTCAGCCCCCAGCACAGACACAACAAACCTGGATGCTTTTCCTGAGTGAAAAAACTATTATTCCCGTCCTGTTTCTTCTCTCAGAGCCAAATTCCCATATAGGTTTTCTCCTCTGTATACCACATGGTTCCTTCTCACATCCATCTCCATATACCTGCTCCTTACTTCAAGTGCCTACACAGTCCAAATCCCAACTTACAGAAAATTAGCAAGTGAAAAAACAGAGAGAGGAAACAGAATCAAGATTTCATAGACCAAATGCAACTCAAGACTGAAGCCAATGATCCTCTGAACTGCTGTGACAGTGGCAAATGGCAGGGATTCCAACAGAAGCCACAAATAAATCCCATTTCCTTAGTTTGAATAAACATAGGCATGTGTAAGAGACAGACATCATCCCTGCCTTGATCAAGTCAGTTCAGGTGTCCTTACACTACACTGCCTTCTGTCCAGGGTGAGGGGCAAAATTACCAAGACCAAGCAGCACTTCAATTTGCCAAAACACAGCAATCTCTAATATTATTGCCTGAAGCTCCACAAAACTGCAGGGTTCAAAGAACTTTTAGATCTTCAGCAGGATTATGTACTTTGTAGAGTTTTGAACAAACTGAACAGACATTAACAACCACTTCTCCCCACAACTGGGCCTGTGCTGCCCCTGCTCTGGGCAGCACTCAGGGATGTTCCCAGCAAAGAGTTTCATTCATACACAACTCTGAAAACTTTAAGCTACAGCTCAACACAAGGAACTTCTCACCACCTAACCCACTTTCCAGTGTTAATTTGTCTTCATATGTCTTCATCCTCCTCGACTCCACAGGCTTTAAAAAGTTTCACCAACTTAGCACCAATATCAAAGTATTTGGCTCCCAGTAATCAGAGACCAGAGTGCTGGAAGGCACCTGCACTCACTGCACACAGCCTGAAGAACAGAGCCAGCTCCACTGTGTTATGTGCCATCATCTTTATTCTCTGTCACATAAAGCAGCCCATTCACTACAGATCCCAGGAATCACCTCAATGTCAAATCAATCCACAGGCAAGAAAACCAGTTTTACTGATACAAACAAAATTCACAGCAGGACACTCCATGAACTGCTCCGTGGCCCTGCGATCACCTGAGTCAGACAGCACCTGATGCAAGCATTCCTGAGTGCAGAGAACAGCCCAGACACGAGAACTGCAGCTCCCATGACACATCTAGGCACAAAAATGCAATGTATTCATTCTAGATGTTAAAGCAGCTGAGTAAGTCAGTCACAGCTACCACTAAAAGAAGTCATAATTACACCAGTTCTCTTTTATGACGCAGGACAAGCCTCTCTCCAAGGCTTGAGTGATCACTTTGCTCTGAAGGAAACAAGCCACACAGGTATTTTAAACACCATCAGAAAAGATACAAAGCCAGAAGCAGACACCTCCTGGATCCGGTCGGAGCAGCTTCCCACGGGCTACACCAGGCTGATGAGCACCTCACACATGGAAAACTTTCCTTTTCCCCATGAGAGCAATGGAAATGAGGCCAGTAAAGCTGCCAACACAGGGCATTTACAACAACTGAAAAATTTCCCAGACAAGGATGTATAAACTTCTCCGGTACTGTGCCTAGACAAACACCACCAGATCCGGAAAACGTTATTATTTGTTCAGATGTCACTATTCGGCTCTCAAGGTTAAAACCCGAGATACTAAAGCTCCAGAAAGCGAGTGGTAACTGCCTAAACGCTGCGTTTCGCTAAAGAGCGCAGAACACCATGGAGAAGCGGTAGCGGTGCCATCTGCCTCCCCCTCCGGCTTCTCCGCGCCAGGGGCGGCCGCCGGCAGCACTTCGGGAGCTGCAGGCCTTGCCGGGACTCGCGGCCCCGGCACACACCCGCGGGCCCGCCGGGGCTCCAGGCAAGGCGCCGGCCTCGCGTCCGGCCCGGCCGTCCGTGCTCGGCTCTTGCATCAGCGCCGCGCGCCCGCCCCGCCCCGCGCCTGCGCGCGCCCGCCGCGCCGCCTCGCGCGACTTGCGGCGTTCCCGCGCTGCGCACGCGCCGGGCGGCGGCGGGAGCGCTGAGGGGCGGGGAATGGAACGGAACGACGTGCAACAGAGCCGAATGGAACAGAATGGAGAGGAATGGAACGGAATGGAATTCCTGCTGTGTTCGCACAGCCCCGGGATCCCAGCACACGGAGCGGGCTGGGGGAGACCAGGGGCTGCAGCTGGTCTAAACTACCAGCTCCGGCAGGGCCATCCCAGAGCACATCGCACGGGATTGCGTCCAGAGGGTTCTGGAATGTCTCCAGTGAGGGAGACTCCACAGCCTCTCTGGACAATCTGTTCAGGGCTCGGTCACTGCACAGGAAAGAATTTCTTCCTCCTGTCCAGGTGGAACTTCCTGGGTATCGGTCCCTGCCTGTGGCTCTGGTGCCGTTGCTGGGCCCCAGGGAGCAGAGCCTGGGTCCTGCTCTGCCCCTCCCTGCACACAGGGACACCCAGGGCTGAGGGCCCCTCTCAGCTGGGGCTCCTCTCCAGGCTGAGCAGCCCCAGCTCCCTCAGCCTTTCCTGGGCACGGAGATGCTCCAGGCCCTTCCTCAGCTCCGCAGCCTCCGCTGGCCCCGCTCCAGGAGCTCCTGTCCCTGCTGTGCTGAGGAGCCGGAGCTGGACACAGCACTCCAGATGTGCCTCACAGGGCTGAGCAGAGGGGCTGGATCCCCTCCCTGACCTGCTGGCAATGCTGTTCCCAGTGCTTTCGAGGATCCCAGTGACCCCCTTGGCCACAAGGACACACTGCTGGCTCGTGGAGAGTTTCTTGTCCACCAGGACCCCCGGGTCCTTCTCTACAAAGCTGCTTCCCAGCAGGCTGGCCCCAGCCTGTGCAGGTGCCTGGGGCTGTTCCTCCCCAGGTGCAGGAAAAGACCTCAGCTCATTGAGCCAAGCTATGAGCCATCACCACAGTGTTAACTAGATCATGGTGCTGAGTGCCAC